TAAAATGGGTCTCCGGTTCTCTACACTCACCATACGAAACACAGCACTGTCAAGCTGCTATTTAACGCTGGTATTCTGTGAGAGTGTGGTCCTTCCCCGTTCGAACCGACCCATTCTTGCTACAATTATACTTCTAATATAGCTGCGGCATTGCTCTACCACGTATATACCACGTACATCCTGACATAAATTGTATTTCTCCGACATCTATCGACCCGATATTTTCCGCCAAGCACGCGATAAATTAGCAAGTAAGATTGCAATTAACTATTTCATTGGTAACCTATTGCCGACAGTGCCTTGAAATGCCGGCGTATTATGCAATAAAAAGCGGCCATGTTTATTTATTTCAGGAAATGTCTCAGCATATTCTTACAAACTAACATTTCAAAAATATTTAATAATAAGCACGCACCTCGGGAGGAGGGACTGGACGTGATTAGTTAGATAGTCTATAGATGGATTAAATAGAAATGAGCTTAGTGCCGATCCCTGATGCACTCCGACCTTAACTTGAAACGGTTCGCTAAGTCCTGCCAAACTTCTCACCTGTGTGCTTACGTCTTGATATGTATCATGCACCAGGTGAATATAGAGTTTTGGTATTTGTTGTGCTCTCATAGCTTCCCAAACTAATTTACGTGGTATTTTGTAGAAGGCCTTTTCAAGGTCTATGAACACTAGGTGGAAGTCTCTCTGTTGGTTCGGTGTTTTTTCATCAGAATTCTTATGGCTTGGATTTGCGGTTTAATGTTAATTATAGTTTTTGCTTAAATTAATATGGTAGTATGTGCCAGAAGTGTACATCATAATGTATATTTAGCGTAACAACCAATTTGAATTTAGTTTAAGCTTTCTTTTGATTTACATATCAGCAACATACGTAATATACAAATCAGATTTTGGTTTTGCACAAAGTATCAGACTAAAGATATGAGAGAAAAATGACATCAAATTCTTTCACAAATACTTCAAGTAACTAGCCTCAAAATAACTAACGCATGGGTGACAAGGAAGGAACAAATACACAACAGCATACATACTTAAAGATATATTAACTCAGATGTACCGCTAGGGGATTAGAATCGGTGACCTCCGGTTCCGTAATCCTGGATCGGCGATTTCGTGATTATCATCTCGAAATACCGCCGTATTATGGAATAAAAAGCGGCCATTTCAGTGAACTATAGCTTGTAAAAAAATATTATTGTAGAATAATTAAAAGTTAAAAATTTTGTACAGCCGACTTCAATATAAGTTATTAAGAATAACTCAAAAACTATTGGTCTGACCTTGATCATATGAAACCACACGAGAAGTGGTACTTCTCGTGTGGTTTCATATGATCTTTCAGCTTATCAGCTTTCAAAGAAAAAAAGAATCATCGAAATCGTTTCACCCAGTAAAAAGTTGCACATAAAAAAAACATACAGTCGAATTGAGTACCGTCTCCTTTTTGGAAGTGGGCAGTAAATATTAGTTCTTCTTTCTGTTTAGGAAACATGTGTTAAGAAACTACATTGTAGCGAAATTTCTAAAAATATTTTTAAATTTCTTTTATATCGTTTTTCGTAAAACTACATAATTTTTTATATAACCTGCTTTTATTATCTGTGATTTTACATTATCACTTATGAATCAACTGGCAATTTTTTCAAAGTAGGTTAGCTATGCATTATGTTATGATGATACCATCGAATTTTACACCTTTACTCAACTTACATCCGGTTCAAAGTCTAGTTTAAAATGTTTTTACAAATAACCTTCAATTATGTTTTTTACTATACGTAGGTACTTTCTTTTATTTAATTACGTGTATAAACAAGGTACAAAAAGTAACAAAAGAGTTTTTTTTTTCATGTTATTTCTATAACAGACATAATTAATAAAACAATAGCCAAAGAAGTAGAAAAAGTAATGTAATCTTATTATTTTTCGCCTTTTTTTAGTTTTCGTTGTATACCAGCTTAAAAAAATTGATATTATTTCATAATATTCAAATATGTACAATATTTAAAAAAAACTATAGTAATTCTCTCATACCCCCCTAGTTATTGTTATAGTTATAACAGTAACTCAGGGGGTATATATATATATATATATATATATATATATATATATGAGTTATTGGTATATATATATATATATATGAGTTATTGGTATATATATATATATATATATATATATATATATATATACATATACACGCGCCATCGGCGGGCCGAAAGGGGAGTAACCATACGCAGGCGTTCCCCTCTGTCAAAGTACAAGTCCACGCTGTCCATTTGCTTTGAAGTTGACATCATCCCAAGGTTCACGTTTAGGTTTACTAACTTAAATGTGATAGAAATTGCAAAGTAGTAATTGTCTAGAGCCTAAAATATAAAAAAAATATCACTTTTATGATTGAGTGTTTTACTCTGGAGTTTAATCGGTGTATAGCCGTAACTAACTTGTTACATTGCGTTTCGGTTGCCGTCATTATGATAAGAAGCTTCCAATTGCAATTTATTGTAATGGACTCGCCATTTAAAACGCCAAAACTCAATATATCTATACTTCTTGAGGCCCTAAGAGTCCGATTATAATGTTTGTAGAAGAGAGTAAGATGTCTGTATGTCAAAACACGTTCACGTTTTGTTAGGTTTTTGCGTTTCTCATACCTCGAGAAGCAGTGATGATACCCTCTTCAAACCAGTCTCATTCGAAAGATGGGTTACCTAAGTTAACTTTCTACTATTATTAACGTCAATAAAAAACAAATAAAATAAAGTCTCGAAATTGAGATACCATTCGTAAAAACGTAAAAACGTAAGGCCAAATAAAAATTTGTATCTATCCACTTCAATAATTTGGTTTAATAAGTCAAGACTTACAAAAATGCGTGCAGTACAGTCGGCCATTAAAAAAAAATATTCATCTATGCAGCAAAGAAAATAATAAGTTGCCGTGTTTCATATGGTGAGTGTAGAGAGCCGCAGACCATTTTTACTTCAAGAGAGGCATTTCATCTTAGTCCTCACGGCTGACAACGCATGCATTTTGATTCGCAAACGAGGATAGATGTAGATGTCTATGGGCCACAGCAACCAATTACCATTAGGTGCACTGTATGCTCGCTTTTCACCCACTCATAAAAAATCTTTTTTAAACAAATAATTAACTCATATTCACTAATAGGTCATTCGATAAGGAAAGCTGTCCTAATCGCACGCTATTGCAAAGAATTTAACATGATGGAACTACGTTGCAGCTACATTATGGCACGAATGGGTCGGCTCGACCGGAGTCGGACCGCGGGCTCAGAAATATCGACGTCAAATAGTAAATGATAGGTGTAGAGTACCGGAGACTCTTTTAAGTAGTAAAATACCTACTTTTTAAGTGTCTAAATAAGTAATGATTTCTTAAATTTACGCGAACACTACACATTAAATGAAAACTGCAAGACTTCAAAATACTGTAAGCTATGACATCGGCACGTCAAACACTTCAGTCCAACTCCTCCGTGACCATGGGTACTGTAAAGCACCTGAAACGTCTGGAGTTAAAAAGTTAAAATTAAACACGATAAAATATCTAAAATTACTCTCATTTAATGTGTGACTAAGTTCTCACCTGATGAAAAGTGTTAAAGTGATTAACTCACTATTTTTTTATTTAGACTGACGTTTGTAAATACTGGAGATATTATCACGTGAATCTAATGACGGTATAATTCGCTGACCGCAATACTATTCGATAATTAATGACTTTACGGTTTGAAATTGAGGTTATCTTCTATTTTTAATCCATTTTTAACTTACATTCTCTTCTCAAGAAAGGGTACAGTTTACATTACGTGAAGGTAAATTTGATTTAAGTTACCAAGTTTGCAAATTTACCAAAATATCACGTAGTTATAGCTTCATATTTCGCTACGTTGCAGCTAACTGAAATGGAAATGGTCTATATCGGTCTTAATAAATATCGTGATTTATTGCTTGGTCTCGGGATAAAATATCTATTTGTCAGGGAACAAGTCCTTTAGCCGTGGTGCCACAGTTTTCGCAAAATTAGACATTTGCTGTCAAATTCCATACTTTTAGTTCTCATATTGTCCACAGGAATTATTTCTAGATACCGATTAAAGTTTAAACCCGTGTATACTTTTAAACTGAGTCCTTTTTGTAATAAGACGGTGTGGGTAAGTTCCATTTTTGGATGCAAATTGCCAACCTCCTTTTATTAGTGAGTGGGTTTGGTGGCAGGGGAGAGTCCATCGTACTGCCTTTATGTATTTGATTTATTTTTATTTATAATTGAGCAAAACTTTATGTTTGTACACATACAGAAGTGACAGTGAGTGTCGGTCGATTTCACATTCTTTGAAACATTGTTAATTGTCTAGACACACAGGTTTCCTTATGTTGTTTTTTCTTCAAGCCGAGCACGTCACAAATCAGAACAATTGCAATCCAAAAAACAATTGCAATTAACATGTTCGTTGGTGCCGGCGGTGATCGAACCTGGATCGCTCACGTACTGTTACAGCACATATTATTATATTGTAAATTAATATTTGCTGATTCTTTCCAGGCGAAAGGTTCTTTGGGAACTAATGGTAAAACCTATCCTCAAAGCATGAACTCTGCGTTCCTCGTTTAATTATAAATTATACATCCCACTACATTTCACAAATTTCGCTAGAAAATCCTTCACCATTCAGGCTGCACTTCTCTGGAACTCCTTGCCTGAACACGTTAGAAAAGCTACGTGAATACTTTTTAATGACATCAGACGTTAGTTAGTATGGTCAATGTTATAAATAAATAATATATGTAAATAAAACCTTAAACACTTACTATAAGTAAGTGTTTATATAGAATATATAGTCTGTATTGAGTAAAAAATATTCTATTATATTCTCTTCTATGTTTGCGGCCAACGCTTAGTCCCTGAACTACCAATACTTTCTTTCAAAAACATTTTTGACGTCACTGATAACAATTTTTTTACAGGTGACTGCTCCAGCTTGCTATGCGGTCGCACGAAGGAGGTGGAGGTCGGAGGCGGCGTGAGCGCGGGAGCGGCTCTAGCGCTGTCTCTCGTCCGGCCTCCTTCCTCAGCTGGTTCTAGTACTCCATGTCAGCTCCGTTTGTCGGCGCCAGAAGCGGCTGCATTTACTGTTAGACTTATTGACGTTAAGGTGAGTTTTTTTTTTAAATCAAATTAGCTGTACAAGTCATCAAGAACCATACGACATATACTATGTATAAGAAGTTAATTATATTTAAATTACTCTATTTGTTTTTAATGTAAAATAAGACATTCAGTGTCAGTTTCTATCTTCATTTCTATGTTAAGCAAATACAATACGTTACTTTGTTACATAATTTACAACAATACAAGGTTTGTTTAGTCTCTACATTATATACTCGTACATTACGGTTCAGGGTAAACAACATAATATTCTGTATTAACTCATTGTAGACATATGATCAACGCAAGAATTTTCCATATACGTCCCTTAAATCAACAAAAAAGTAAGACGGAGCGCTGCCTACATTTCAAAGACCACCACCCAACATATATAGTTGTAAGATATTTTAATCATTTTCATCTAATAAAAGGAATATGTAATTTAAGTAAATCATTAATTAAATTTGAAATTATAATTAGGACAGTATAATGAATTGCCAAATTGTTGACTGCCCATTTTAGGAGTAAAAAATACCAGTTTTTTTTTTTGGCAAACGGGCCTAAATCCACCAGATGAAAATTGTTCATCTACTACCCTCAGTAGTATAAAATTTTGTGATATTGTTGTACTATATTTTTTTAAACCAGTAATATTTCACGCGAATATTTTTATATTATTAGACAGAATAATTTAGATGCAGCACAATGAAATGATTGCTAAAACACATAATAGATTGCGTTTTCTCTTTTACGACCTTCGCGACACGTCCCTCTTTAACGGTTAATGAACGTTAAAAGTTAGTATTGTTCTGAATTGAAATTGTGTAGAAAAGAGAAGGAATAATTAGGATTAGTGCAGGTCACGTAGATGAAATTCGCTGGCGTAACAGTTGCAAAACGATTCAAGATAGTCTAACCGTGTGACAGTTGCTACATAATGCACTTGTGATACTCAATCGCGCAACTGTTGATCGCCGAGATAATGTTTGTCTTTAGGTGTGCTAGAAGGATTTTATAAGTATATTGCGCAGACGTTGGCAAATCACAGAGACAATGCAGTTAGTTAAATTAACCTCATAGCAATAGACGCAGTTCTGATTTCATAATAATATTGTTAATAATTCCAAATATGTAATTTGATTAACTAAAATAAATATTCCCACAAAACTAAGAGTTACCCTAATGAATCTATGGCTGTCAAGTTAAAACAATGGTCTTTAGCCGATGTGCGTATTTATAGTCTGTATTTTTATTTTCTTTTTATAATATATTTAGGTATTAGCGGCAAAATAAGGTTTTAAATTCAACAGTGTTCTTTTTTGTATGTACCAAATATAAGGCGATTGGTAACCAATTTTAATGATTCTTTTTTATTAAATAGATTATACTTCAGGTTTGGTTCCATATAAATGAACACAATTTGGACGCCATTTGAGCTGGAGATATATTCCTTAGTCCACTTAATTAGGTCATAAAATTAGACTTATAAAAGGTAAAAGCCGATTTCAAAGAACTACAAGAATAATATAATTTCTAAATATTAGCTTCTGAAATTTGAATATTTTTTTATAGTATAGGGTGACAAACGAGTACACAGTCCACCTGATGGTAAATGGTTGTTGTGACCCATAGACATCCACATCTATCCTCGATTACGTAATCAAAGTGCAGATGCGTTGTCACCCGTGAGGACTAAGATGGAATGCCTCGTTTCTAGTAAAAATGGTCTCCGGTTCTCTACACTCACCATACGAAACACAGCAGTGTTAAGCTGTTATTTTATAGTGCTATTCTGTGAGAGCGTGGTCCTTCCCCGGTCGAGCCGACCCATTTGTGCTACAACTATGCTACTAATATAGCTGCAGCATGGCTCTACCACGTAACAAATATACACAATATATAATTCTTCGATACTTTGTCTAAATCTCTTTCCTGTTTACGGCGCTACTCCCGTTATCAGTCTGGGTTAAACGTTATGGCGTATAATAGCGAGACCGATAACGGGAGTGGCAAAGGTGCAAGGCTTCAGGTATTGCGATCGCCAATACGCTTGTCCAACGTGGCGATTAAGGCGAATCCCCTTTACATTAGTAGAGGTCCATGTCCAGCTGTGGAATTTTACAGGCTGGTGAAGAAGAAGAAATGAGAACAGTATATTTAATACATTTTATTTATTTATTTTAATAGCTCTTAAAATTAACTTTAGATGTAAAGATTTAAATATGTATTGATAAAACGTGGGAGTTACTGACTTTACATCTTATTTGACGGATTAAAATATTTTTTTTAAAATCACTCCTGAGTTACACGTCTCTAAGGTCTACCAACAATTGTTTTCATTAAAAGTATAACAATAAATAATCTAACTAAATGTAGCAACTACTTAAAAGTAAATACCGCATGCTTAAATTAGATTAACTACTGGAATTTCCAAATAAAATAGAGAAAATTATTATAATTAACAGATAAAAATGATCAGAGGTAGTTAAATGCTTCCAAATTGATAATTAATAGAACCAGGTGTTACTTTGCGGAAATTAAAATAAAGATGTTAAAAATTAATTTCCTAAGAATCACATAATAAAATAAAATGATGTGTCTTACCTAATTTGATGATTTTCGGTAGATTCAAAATGATTTCCGAATGCATATAAGAAGTCAATAGTCACAATGTTCTTCATACACAAGTAGACATAATGTTGTACTTATTATTGTTGGCAAATGGCAATAGCAAAGCTTGTATTATATTTGCTGTTACGAAAACAATAAGACAATTAGTATTTGAAATAAAGGTTTATACTTGATTTTCTAATAAGTCTGACAAGGCACGTGGTCGTATCACGTAGTGTCATTTCAATGGACTCTGTGAAGGTTTTCCATTATATAACATCCGAAGAGAGCTTGTTGTTTTGTTCTTTTTGAGGATATGTGGCATCGTAGGCATTACCTCCGTTACGTACCAATAATTTTTAATCTGTGCTTCCGTTAGTAGCGAAGTTTCTCGTTGCTTTATATTGTCTCAAGTTTATAAAAATATCTTTAGGAGTGCACATAGAATATTGTGTGTTGTAAGATATATTTTTCTTTAGGATAATCATAACTTATAAGCAAAAACATCGGTCTCAGAGGTTCGAGTTTTCTCTGCGGTCCCCAATCCATACATTATATCAAATTCACTAATTGATTTCTCGCTCGTGTGTTGATGAGTCATGCGCCGTTAACAATCGATTCGATTTAATTTACGGACTAGGTACGTCGAGGCGGGGATTTATTTATATATAAATCCCCGCCTCGACGACCTAAACTATATACTTTTACGGGGAATGACTTCATTGTTATCATAAGGTTAAATGACCGTACATCATTAACGAGAAATTGAAGAGCTAAATAGATAGGAAAGAATCCACAGCAGTGGATACATCAAAAGACATAAGATAGAAACAAAAAAAGTTAAACAACACTGATCGTGAGCTACGACGATCCTAATAAGAATAATAGATTGTTGTCATGAGATTATTGCATCGTCAGTGTTTTTTAATACGTCTGCTAAATTTTACATTATTCAGACGTCTGGAAGTCGGTGAAAAATGAATTATAAAATCTATACAAATAAATAAAATTGAAGTGTCTGTTTGTAATGTCAAAATTACAGCTTTTTACTAATTATATTATATGAAAGTATATACGGTACATAAAAACCCTAACACGCTAGCGAAGTCGCGGGGAACAGCTAGTTTCATTATAAAACATACATATATACAACACACACATAATGTTGCAGACGTATTAAGAACCGCTGAAAATAAAATAATTTCGCGACTCAGAGCTACAATTAGGTATTACTAGGATCATCATACAGTTCATGATCAATGTGTGTTGTTTAAGTTTTATAAACTATAATTTAGGTATAAATTTTCTTGATATTCTTTGTTCAATATAATGTGTGCCGTAGTAGTGCAGCCTTTGAAATCTAGTTTAATCACTGCATTTCATAACTATGCCAAATTGCAGTCATCTGCGTGACGCGCTCAGATAACTTTGCGACAAATAAACAGACACACTAAGGTAATGTAAGGTATTCCGTTTTGTTAAATTCGGCATGAAACACTAAAAAACTTACCGTTACAGTCAAAAGTCCACTACTGAACATAGGCCTCCCCCATAGATTGCCTGATAGGGTTATAAACTCTCAACTTATAACTGTCATAGTTGCCATGCTTAGGAAGCGGGATTTTTTTTAGTTATAATTAGGAAGACACTGCAGTCCATCTTTGGTTCTTTTTTTTATAGGATTGGGTGACAAACAAGCACACAGTCCACCTGATGGTAAGTGGTTGCTGTGACCCATAGACATCTACATCTATCCACGTTTGCGAATCTAAATGCAGATGCGTTGTTACCCGTGAGGACTAAGATGGAATGCCTCTTTTCCAGGAAAAAGGGTTCTCTACACTCACCATATGAAACACGGCAGTGTTAAGCTGCTATTTTACGCTGTTGTTCTGTGAGAGCGTGGTCCTTCCCCGATCGAGCCGATCTATTCATGCTACAACTATCCTACTAATATAGCTGCAGCATGGCTCTACTACTATAGATCTGTCTGTCGTCTCACTTTACGGTCAACTGACACCACATGGTCCAAAAAGAAATCTTAGCAGATTTTAAGTCAAGATTTCACATAACTCCGTGAGGAATTAACTATTGACCGTTTCCAATTATTTACCTTAGAAACCTTGTTGAGCCTGATCAAAAAGCTTGTGTTAAAACTAGGTTAAAGATAAGAAAACGGTAGCTACTGCTACTGTTTACTCGTGTTAATAAACCTAGCAAGCTAACAGCATAGCAAAGTGGCGAAGCAATCAGCTTTGTAGCGGTTTCTAACGGTTGCCGTTGAGCAATCAGTTTCAAAATAGGAGGTTCAGATGCCTGGGTGATCAGTAATCGATTGCTGAAAACAGAATTTGAAAATTCGAAACCGTTCTCGAGATAATCGTGGGACAGACGGAC